TTGATTATTCGGACAGCCATTTGTCCGAAATAATAATAATAATAACAAGGAAGAAACAGTGCAGTTCTGGAAGCAGATATGGGATAACCCAAAGAAATACAACAAGGATGCGGCTTGGTTAAAAGAGGTGGATGCAAATAAAACAGAAGTTGAAATGAAAGAACTAGTAATAACAACAAAAATGGTAGAAAAAAGAGCAAAGAAAATCAAAAATTGGTCAGCACCAGGTGAAGATGAACTGCATGGGTTTTGGTTGAAACATCTAACTGTTATACACCCACTCATTGCCAAGCAGTTCAACAATATACTACAAGGAGGAGAAATTGAAAAGTGGCTAACAACTGGGAAAACCCACCTAATAATGAAAAATCCAGCAAAAGGGGCAACACCAGGTAACTACAGGCCAATTACCTGCTTACCAACAACTTTCAAATTACTAACTAGTGTGATAGCTGATGCAGTACAACAGCATCTAGTTGAAAACAATCTGTTTCCACCTGAGCAGAAAGGAAACCGCCCCAATAGCAGAGGAACAAAAGATCAACTCCTAATAGACAAAATGATCTTGGAAAACTGCAAGAGAAGGAAGACCAACCTGAATGTGGCATGGATTGACTACAAAAAGGCATTTGACTCTCTGCCACATGATTGGATAATCAAGTGCCTAGAAATAACAGGAGTCAGTAGAAACATCAGAAAATTTGTGCAAAGATCGATGGCACAATGGAAGACACAGTTGCAGATCAATGGTGAGAAGCTGGGAGAGGTTAATATCAAGAGAGGGATATTTCAAGGAGATTCATTATCACCATTACTATTTGTTATTGCACTGTTTCCTCTGTCAACAATACTGAATAACTCAGGACATGGCTATCAAACATCAAAAACATCTGCTAGACTATCCCACCTCCTTTACATGGATGATCTGAAGCTGTATGGAAAAACATCATCTGAAATAGAATCGCTGCTCAACACTGTCCGTATATATAGCCAAGATATTGTAATGGAGTTTGGCTTGGACAAATGTGCCACACTTACTATCAAACAAGGAAAAATAGTGAAAACTGAAGGAATCAAGATGCCCCACGAAAATAACATTAAGAGTCTGGATGAGGAAGAGTACTACAAATACTTGGGTATTCTTCAAGCTGACAACATCAAGCACACTGAAGTCAAGAAAAAGATTAGAAGTGAATACATCAAGAGAGTGAAGAAGATCTTAAAGTCCAAACTCAATGGAGGAAATACCATAAAGGCAATCAACACCTGGGCAATCCCAGTCATTAGGTACACAGCTGGAATAGTGGACTGGACTCAAGCAGAACTAAAAGCAATGGATAGGCAGACCAGAAAAATAATGACAATGAATCATGCCCTTCATCCACGCAGTGACATTGATAGACTTTATCTACCAAGGCAAATAGGTGGGCGTGGAATGCTACAAGTACATCAGATGGTTGAAGAAGAAAAAATGGCTTTGGAAGAATATCTGAAGAACAATGATGAAGATGCACTGAAATTAGTATATCAGGAAGGCTTACTAACTACTGGAGAGACCAAACTGGCCTACAAGAAAGACCAAATGAAGAACAGAATAGAGGCATGGGAAGACAAAGCACTACATGGCCAATACATGAAAAAAATAGCTGGGAAAGCAGATAATAATAAAACCTGGCAATGGCTAAGAGCAGGAAAATTGAAGAAAGAGACCGAGGGACTAATTCTGGCTGCACAAGACCAAGCCTTAAGGACAAATGCATACAAAGTCAAAATTGAGAAGACAGCAACAGACAGTAAGTGCCGCCTATGCAAAGAAGCTGAAGAAACAGTGGACCACTTGGTAAGCTGTTGCAAGAAGATTGCACAGACTGATTACAAGCAGCGGCATGACAAAGTAGCAACAATGGTGCATTGGAAGATCTGCAAAAAATATCATTTGCCTGTAAGCAAAAACTGGTGGGATCATAAAATAGAGAAAGTCATAGAAAATGATAAAATTAAACTGCTCTGGGACTTCAGAATTCAAACAGACAAGCACCTGCAACATAACACCCCAGACTTAACAATTGTCGATAAGAAAGACAAAAAAGTCTGGATAGTGGACGTGGCAGTGCCTGGAGATAGCAGAATAGAAGAGAAAGAACTGGAGAAGATAACAAAATACAAAGACCTACAAATAGAAATAGAAAGACTGTGGCAAAAGCAAGCAAGGGTAGTACCAATAGTCATAGGCTCCTTGGGTGCAATCCCAAAACAACTGGAGCACCACTTGAACACCATTGGCATTGACAAATTCGCTATTAGTCAATTGCAAAAGGCGGCCTTATTAGGAACTGCTTCCATCCTGCGACGATACCTGTAATACCATCAAACATCCACATCTGCCTATCCCAGGTCCTGGGTAAGGACTCGATAGGTAGACAAAATGCCAAATCCAGTCTGAACATCTGGCTGACTGTGCGATGATCATAATAATAATAATAATAATAATAATAATAATAATAATAATAATAATAAAGTTGGAAGGGACCTTGGAGGTCATCAAGTCCAACCCCCTGCTCAGGCAGGTAACCCTATACCATTTCAGACCAATGGCTGTCCATTCTCTTCTTAAAAACTTCCAGTGTTGGAGCATTTACCGCTTCTGGAGGCAAGTTGTTCCACTGGTTAATTGTTCTAACTGTCAGGAAGTTTCTCCTTAGTTCTAGGTTGCTTCTCTCCTTGATTAGTTTCCACCCATTGCTTCTTGTCCTGCCTTCAGGCGCTTTGGAAAATAGCTTGACTCCCTCTTCTTTGTGGCAGCCCCTGAGATATTGGAACACTGCTATCATGTCCCCCTTTGTCCTTCTCTTCATTAGACTAGACATACTTGCCTGAGCAGGGGGTTGGACCTGATGACTTCCAAGGTCCCTTCCAACTTTATTATGATGATGATGATGATGATGATTATTATTATTATTATTATTATTATTATTATTATTATTATTATTATTATTGTCAAAGTACAGTAGCACTTTGTCTTCCTAACACCAGGGCTTTTTTTGTCATAGAACACCCAGAACAGAGTTCCAGCACCTTTTTGGGCTGGAACCTTGTAGGGTAGGCAAGGCGGGTTGTATGACGTGTGTGAGCTCCGGTACCTTTTTTTTTTTTTTTTACAAGAAAAGCACTGCCTAACATGTTTTACTAAACTGCTTATGATGGTTGTCGAAGTTGATGATCCAACATTAATAAGGAACAAGAGGTGGTTGATGAATGTTATAGTCAAACTCAAACTGAAATTGACAGAACATGCAAACAAGATGCACTGGTTATAGCCGGAAACTAAAATATCAAAGCTAGAAATAGTAAGCAATAAAACATAGTTGGATTGTATGGCCCAATAAACATAAATGAAGCAGAACAGTTTGACAATTTCTGTTAACAATTCTTTCATTGCTAACACAATCTTCCAACAATAAATACAATTCCTGTGTGCATGGCATCACCGGATGGAGTACATAGAAATCAAATTGACTATATTATGGGTAAAACAAGGTGTAAGGGCTCATTTATAACAGCAAAATGTGGCTAGGAGCTTCCTATGGAAGAGACACTTCCAAAATAGGTCTTTGAAGAAGCAGAATAGGAAAAAAAATATTGATGTTTTTTGAATTTTGATAAAATCATAGGGCTGGAAGGGACCTTGGAGGTGCTTCTAGACCAGAGGTCTCCAACCTTTTGGGCACTAGGGACAAATTCTGTGGAGAGAGAATTTTCCACGGAGCAGAGAGGGCATGGCTTTGTGTGCTTGTTTGTGCGGACCAGTTGCTGGCATGCTGCGGCCCAGTACCACTCCATGGACTGGAGGTTGGGGACCCCTGTTCTAGACTAGCCCCTGCCCATGGCAGGAGTCCTTATACTATCCCTGACAAATGGCTGTTCATTCTCTTCTTGAAAACCTCCAGCAATGAAGCACCCACAACTCCAGGAGGCAAGCTTTCCACTGATTAATCTTACTCACCATCAAGACAATTCTCCTTATTCCAGATTGGATCCCCTCTGACAAGCTTTCACCCTTTGCTTTTTTTTTCTTTTTTCTTTTTTTGTCCTGCCCTCTCACATGCTATGGAGAATAAATTGACCCCCTTTTCCCTGTGACAGCCCTTTAGGTTTTGGAAAATTGCTATCGTGTCTCCCCCAAGACTTCTCTTTGTTAGACTAAATATACCTAGTTCCCTTAGCTGCTCATCATATGATTTAGGCTCCAGACCCCTTATCATCTTTGTTGCTTTGTTGCTTTGTTGTAATCTTTCTAGGGTCTCAGCATCTGATGTTGGAGGCGATTCCTAAGAATATTGTGGGTAGCCACAAAAACAAACAAATGGATCATGCAGTAGAACTAATTTAGTCCAGAAATGTCCGTTACTCGTGGCACAAACGACTTAGATTATCATATTTTGTATGCATTATGTGAATCCTCTGATAAATCCATAATGCTGGAAAAGGGGAAAGAAGGAAAAGACTACTGGCAAGAAAATAGACTAGACTATAATGACAATGGAGACGCTATTGGAAGATCTGGCGGATCAGGTTGGGGAAAGATCATCCTGAGTAAGATCCGTCAGTGTTGTTGCTAAGAGTCAAGAACACAGATGAGTATCAAGATACTAATAGCTAGAAGCAAATCCAGCAAGATTATAATCTTTGCACCAACAAATGCACTGCCCCACTATGGTCAACTATGGATTCAACTTGATTTTCAACAAAGCCGATCCACGTTTTGAACTAATATGCAAACCTAAATGCAGTTAACTCTTTGAAACGGATTTTTCCAGTGGTTTCAATAAAAAAAAATGTGTGCACTTTAGCAAAATCAATACGTATAAATGCACGGTAATAAAAAGATTTTAGAAAATGTTAACATTAGGCAACTACCGTGGACAAGAATATGTAAATTAATTAAAACAAGTGTGTATGAAGATGCATACCTATTAACTTTTTGAACTTTTTTTTTCCAGAAAGAAAAATCCCCTCACACTAATTGGGAATGGAGCAAACTGAATGGATAATAAGAGTTACTAGAATTTTTATAAATGATTGTATGTTTTAAAAAATAAAAAAAAAATTAATAAAAAAAAAGAGTTGCTAGAATTTACAGATTTCCTTATTCCCAACCATAGCATTACAAAATCAAAAGAGAAGCATCCCATCTTTTTCAGATAAAGGAAGATACTTTATTGAAGTGTATTGACGGAAGTTAGATAATTATTGTTCTTAGAATATTAAAAGACCCCGGTGGCCCTTGGAAAAAAAGGTAGGATAGGAATTTAAATAATGGTATCATTGCTATGTGCATTACTCTCATTTTTACAGTATCCTCTGGTTGATGTCCACCCCACTTTTTAATGGACTAAACTCAAAAGGCACATCTAAATGTCAGGGGGGGGGAAAGCAATTATTTTGCTCTGCAAATAACATGCAACTCTTTTGAATATCCGTACTAACCATAAGTGCAGGTTTGACTGCTTCAGAACCCCAGTGCCATAATGTTCTCATGATTTATATAAGACTTTAGAAGTCTCAGACAAATGCAGGAAGACTTATACAAACAATGTGGTGAAAAGCATACACACAGAGACACACACAGGCGCACACACACATAGACACACAGACATATGCAAGTTAGTATTATGTCACAATGTGCAAAAGGTTATACACACACACATACATACTTATATACATAAAGCAAGAGAGCTCTGTATATACATACACATACACATACACATATACATATTGATGCCCAGGATTCACATTTTTAGTGTTATAAAGGATAACATATATATACATATACATGTTGTAAAGGTAGTCCTTGACCTACAACCATTTATTTACTGACCGTTCAAAGTTACAACCCTGAAAAAAGTCACTGATGAACATTTTTCACACTTATAACCATCGTAGCATCCCCATGGTCAGGTGATCAAAATTAACTCATTTGGCAACTGGCATGTATTTATGACGGTTGCAGTGTCCTGGGGTCACATGATCATCTTTTGTGACCTTCTGACAAGCAAAGTCAATGGGGAAACCAGATTCACTTAACAACCTTGATACTAATTTAATAGCTACACTGACTCACTTAACAACCCTGACAAGAAAGGTCATAATGTGGGGCAAAACTCACTTAAAAACTGTGTCACTTAGCAAAACAAATAAATAAATGTTGGGTTCAATTGTGATCATAAGGCGAGGACAACCTGGACATATACATATACACAGACTTAGTTGTAGTAGTAGTAGTAGTGTTGGTAGTATCAGCCCAAATCAATCCACCCAGGAGGAAGGCCTCTTCATTCCTGGTTCATGTGTAGCCTCTCCAATCCTTCAGCCCTTTTGCATTAGCAATCTCCAATCCTGCAGCTGTAAAAAGTGATCAAAAGATAATGAAGGGTTACAGAAGTCTTGCAGTCATGGGTAGCCGTGCAGTAGGAAGAAGCAAAATGATTTCCTTTGAAAAGGAAAATGTGACACCTACATCTCATCATTGCAAAAGAAAAGTATTGTTCCTCTGAGATAGAAAAGGCTTTTGCTACTGTGGAATAACTTTAATTTTGCATTTCTTTTCCATTTAAAAAGGTATACGGGTAACTAGGCCTATATCTTCAGCAGCATTGCCATCTCCATCAATCATCATTCAATCAATCAGTCAACCGTAGAAGGCTGTGGGTTTAGCATCTCCGAAATCTGGAGGAGCTGCTAGCAGATCACACAATAGTAACCTTGATGAGTTAATAGTCTGAACCTAAGCATCTCTCTTGAGGTTCTCTAATCTGAAAATCCACCTGATGCATTCTTTTGTGGTAAGTTGTGTTAGTGCGGCAGTCGCTTGGGGAGTGGGCAAGCCTGCCCTAGGGCAGCCACAGCTCTCACCCCACACTTTCAACAATTCTTCAGGTGCCCTCTTACCAAGAGGAGAGAATCCCTTGGTCTAATCTCTTATACCAGGGGTCCTTCAAACTTGGCCCTTTTATGACTTGTGGACTTCAACTCCCAGAATTCCTCAACCAGTGTGCCTGGCTGAGGAATTCTGGGGGTTGAAGTCCTCAAGTCATAAAAGAGCCAAGTTTGAAGGACCCCTGTCTTATACGGTTGTGTGTAAAGGCATACAATTTGAAAGGCTTCAGCGTGTATCGACTGATGAAAATAGGCGAGATCTAGTCAGCGATGCTTCTTGACACAATCAACACTGTTGCAGGGAAACCTGTTTCATTAATAGACTCCCTCACCAAGGCATTGCGTTGCCTTCAAGAGAAATGTTTAGGTTTTTAAAGGCATTTCCTGGGTAGTAGGGAGACCTGGAAAGCCAGGTTGCGTAGTGAAAACAGTTGGCGGGAGGGAAGGGAAAGGAATGCATTCCTCAAGAGAGCCAGAGTGGTTTCCTGCCTCCGCAAACACATGATTTGTATGAGTCTTCCACGGTAAAACTGCTGTGTGCGAGAGCTTCTTCCTGGCAGAATACATAAACAGAAGGGGAAACTGAGGCATCTCCACAACACCCAGACCAAACAACTTCTTATTACAGGAGTCTGTGCAAAAGTAAACTAATTTTTCTCACATATGCAATTAAGTTCCTTCTGATGCCATTTTCAAGAAATGAATCATGAATGTGGGAATTTTCGAACGTATTTTTTGAAGAAACATCTTTTACACATTTCGTTGCTTGTTCTTGTGGTCAGGTACTTTTTCTTTCTTTTCCGTGTGGTTTGGAATAATCCTCATTCGTGCAGGACAAAATGTTCCTATTAATATCTAATATTAATATGTAAGATTTGGGTAAAGTTTGTAAGCGTCAAGAATAAGAAGGACACCTAAACATTAAAGCAGTCTCTAATCTGAATTGATCCAAGTGTTTTTGCTGTTCCAAAAATGACACACCCTTTGAAAATCCTGTTTTGCAGAATTGCAGATACTGTTCTTTAGATATACTTCTAATGGTCCACCAGCTCAGGGCAATCCTCTCGTATTTCTAACAGCTCCCAATGGTTGGATGGGGGGAAAAAAACCTTCACCTGTTGAATTAACGTACTTACTCCTGAATTATTAAAGTCTCCATGGATCCAAAAGAAAGATGAAGAATGTCAATCTTATAGGCTGCTTACGGTATTTGTTTGTTTGTTTGTTTGTTTGTTTGTTTAGCATATCATACATGGACTAGCAATATATATTAACATTTCATCTAGATTAGTAGAACACAATAAAATATAAATGTTAAAAAGGTCTATGTTCAAATACTAATATCTAGGCCAGGGGTAGGCAACCTTGGCTCTTTTATGACTCGTGGACTTCAACTCCCAGAATTCCTGAGCCAGCATGGCTCAGCTTTGAAATCTCTCCCTTTCCCCTCAGCATGGCTGGCTTAGGAATTCTGGGAGTTGAAGTCCACAAGTCATAAAAGAGCCAAGGTTGCCTACCCCTGGTCTAGGCCATCTAACCATTGAAGCACATCATATATCTATATATCTATCTATATCTATCTATATCTATCTATCTATCTATCTATCTATCTATCTACCTACCTACCTACCTACCTACCTACCTACCTACCTACCTACATACATACATACATACATACATATATATATATATATATATATATAGGTCTTTGGTTGTTCGGGTTTTCTCCCGCGTAAAATTGGAAGTGTCTTGGCAACGTTTCGACGAAGTCACATTCGTCATCTTCAGGCTGGTGTTTTTAGCTTCTTGCTTTGAGCAGCAATGTGTGGTTTTAGCTGTTTCTTCCTTTTAACTGCCAGTGAGGGTATGAACTGATTGGATGGGAGCTTGGCTGTGTTCTGATTGGGTGGAGGTGTGTTCTGAATGGTTAGGGGCTTGGCTGTGCTCTGATTGGCTGGGGGAGTGTTCTGTTTGGTTGTGCTCAGGTTAGTCTGAGTTGCAGAGGGGTTTAAGATTTTGGGGTTAGGGAGTCGTTTGTCAATAAGGGCAGGTTTCCAAATGGCTGGTAGGCGGGAGGTATCATCTCGCTTGTTCATGCTGTGTGGGCGTTTTTCTATCTCGATGGCTTCTCTGATTATTCTGTTATTAAAATGTTCACTTTTGGCAATGGTTCTGGTATTTTTAAAGTCAATTTCATGTCCTGTGGCTTTAAGGTGTTGGACCAGGGAAGATGTTGGTTCCTCTTTTTTGACTGAGTTCTTATGTTCTTCAATGCGTGCACTTATTCTTCTGTTGGTTTGTCCGATGTATGTGGTGGGACAAGTGGTGCATGGGATTTCGTATACTCCTTGATTTTCTAATTCAATTTTATCTTTGGGGTTTCTAAGGATGGTGGATATTTTTCTGTTTGTGCAGAATGCTGTTTTGATGTTGTGTTTATGGAGGATCTTACTGATTCTGTCTGTGGTGCCTTTTATGTATGGGAGGAGGGCTTTGCCGTTTTCTTGTTCTTTGTCTTGGATTTTAGTGGGGGTTTCTTTTTGGATTAGGTTTGTAATCTTATTTCTATGGAATCCATTGGATGTTAGTACATTGGTGAGAGTGTGTAGTTCGGGTTTTAGGTGTTGTTCGTCAGCTAAGCGTTTTGTTCTGGAGATGAGTGTCTTGGCTACAGAGTTGATCTGTGCTGGGTGGTGGTGTGAGAGAGCGTGCAGATAGCGGTTTGTGTGTGTTTTCTTCTGGTAGATGGTGTGTCCTAGGGAGCCATTGGATTTCTTGTAGACTAAGACATCCAGGAAGGGAAGTTGGTTGTACAGTTCCATGGTGAACTGTATTTTGGGGTGTAGGCTGTTGAGGTGTGTGAGGAAGTTGTCCACTTCCTCACACACCTCAACAGCCTACACCCCAAAATACAGTTCACCATGGAAACAGAAGCTAACAACCAACTTCCCTTCCTGGATGTCTTAGTCTACAAGAAATCCAATGGCTCCCTAGGACACACCATCTACCAGAAGAAAACACACACAAACCGCTATCTGCACGCTCTCTCACACCACCACCCAGCACAGATCAACTCTGTAGCCAAGACACTCATCTCCAGAACAAAACGCTTAGCTGACGAACAACACCTAAAACCCGAACTACACACTCTCACCAATGTACTAACATCCAATGGATTCCATAGAAATAAGATTACAAACCTAATCCAAAAAGAA